GCGCATGGAGCAATGACATGGTGGTAATCCTGCGTTCGTAGGTGCACCACAATGGCAACTCGTTTTTGCCCCTCCGCCACCGGGCCCATGGAGCGATGAAAGAGTTGCCGGATGCTGTAAGTCATCCCCTTCACCTGTACCAGCTGCTCCTCCTGAACATTTTCTTGAACTGAAAGCACAACTCCATCTGAGGGCATAGTCATTGGAGCCGAGGCCAGCTGCCGTGATTCACTCTTCCATTCCCGCACAAAAAATTCCTGCAAGGTGGAAAACTGCTGCTGCTTCCCCTCCGTGATGTCAATATTGTACCACCACACGATAGCCTTAATAAAAAAGCGGTGAACGGATTCGGAGACGTACCCACTCTCGCTAAGGCACCCAAACGCGCGAGAAGCATAATTCAAAGGAAGGAGGAGCAAAAACTCCAAGGTGGCAGTGGAGCAAAGGCGATTGCCGTTTTCAGGATGCCGTAGCGCCTCCCACGCGGCAAGCTGGTAATTCCCCCACAGACACACTCCCCCGCCAACCGCAAGGCCAGCAAACAAATAATGATACACCCATCGTCGCATCGGGTTGGTGTAACCCCTCGTCACATCATTTTTGTAAAAATGTAGCTTCCGAGTGAGTGTCGTCATCAAACTTCCCCCCTCCCTCCTCGCCACTGCGGTTGCCTAATGCACAATGCGAGTGTGTGTGTGTGTGATCCCTCCACAAATGGCGTTGAATTTCACACGCCTGTTTTTTTTTTTTTTCCAGCAAAGAAGAAGAAAAATAAGGAAAAAAAGAAGTTAACCGAGAAGAGACGCGACACATCCAACAATGAGCTCCGCACAAAAGCAATACGGGGAGAAATCCTTCAAAAATTCACACACACACACACACACATCAGCCTGAAAAAAGTTGTTTCCCTAACGACAATTTGTCACCTCTCACAATAACAAAGGCAACAAGGTAATAACGACAAACGGAAGAATATGCGTTTGAATGAGGCCTTCTTCCCCCTCCCATTGCTGCAAAAAAAAAAAAAAGGATCTTTTAAAAAGACACGCTGTCTTTTATTTGGCCTCAGTTGGTCGCACACCCTTTGCAGAAGCTTCTAACAAGACACCTTCATATATAAATGTAAATTCCAGGAAAAAAAAATAAGAAAAAAATATTGCAATATTTCCAACATGCATTCAATAACTTTCTCTGCTCGCGTACCGTTTGACCACGGGGCTTGTGATTGGCCAGAGACGCTGGCGGTCCGTTTCTTTCAGGTGTAAAAAACCACGTATAGTGCCCGCACAATGAACAGACTCACAGAGGCACACAAAAGGCGAATTCATAGTCCATTCGGTGGTACAGTAGTTAAAATTCAGCATCTCTCCTACCGTAATGGATCGAAGCGCCACAAAATCAAACGTTCCATTTTCCTCGTGTACCACCACTTGTAAATTGGGGTCACAGTGGTGGGCAATACATTCGGCGGCATCTCCAAACAAAAGATGTTTATTCTCTCCGACACAGATGGTGTACATTGTAGGAAACGGTACAACAAGCCCCGTGCTGTGAAACAGCACTTCACCCAAGGCAATATTTGCGGCTGCATAAGCGGTTTGCCCCATTTCCCCGTTTCGACGAACTTCAACCAATGGCGATGAAGATTTGACAATCCAGCCATCCTGCATAGCCTGCGCACGAACGGATGGTTCACATAAATATAACTGGCTCTGCTTTGTAACTTCCGGAAGATGAAAAAATCCTTGACATCCCTCCGCAAAAGCAAGCGGAAAAAGGGATGAAGTATCGTATATAAAGAAGTTCATGTCAACCGTTAGGAATTCCCCTTCTTCCATGTTACGC